CGCTGCCCCTGGGGCGAAGAGGCTCGGCGCCTCGAAGAGGCCCGAAAGCTTGGAGTCTCGGACACTCGGGGAAGCTTGGGCCTGGGCAGCTGCGGGGGCAGAAGGGGAGGAGGAGGAGGAGGAGGAGGAGGAAGAGGAGGAGGAGGAGGAGGAGGAAGAGGAGGAGTAGGAGGAAGAGAAGCAAACGGTGGAGGAGCAGGAGGAAGAGGAGGAGGAGGAGCAAGAGGAGAAGGATCAGGAGGAGGAGGAGGATTGGACATTTTGGTAGGGATCTGCACTCGGCGAGTGCTGATCCCTACCCAAGCGTCGTTGTGACGTTTACTCCATGTTTGTAGTGCATCCCATGGCCCTGCCGCACGGTCGTGACGTGGGCAAACTGAACGAGTGAGAATCCCACAGCCCTGTCACACGCTCGTGATTGCGGAAGCTGGTGTGGTGAGACCACCATGGCCATGATCTGCGTTTTTTGATGCTGTTGCTAATCAACATGATACGATAGCAACTTCGATCCCCGCAACTGTTCCGTCGATTCTCAAGTTCGGCCTCCGCGCCTTCCCAAAAGATAAATCTCTGTGGGCGGGGTTAAAAAATAGAGGGGGGTAAAGGGGGGGGTGCACCTTCATTATCGCCCGCACTCGGTTAATAGTTCGGTCACCTTGGAAGTCAGAATAGTACAACCATCACCGAGCTCGGGATTCTCTTCCCTCGGTGGAGGCACACCGCCGATATTGGTGTTGGCGTCAACCTCTAAGGCCTGCGACCTTAAGCGAAGCAATGATCGAAGAGGATGTTTCACTGCACTGGCCCTGCAGACGTGCTGCAGCGGATTTGTGCGTGGATCTCTGACAATGCAAAACCCCGAAACGGCGAACGAAAGACGAAGTGAATGTCACGTGGATCTCTTGTACTCATCATTCCTGACCCAAAAAAATCCGCACGAAAATCACTTCGAAATCCGAAACGAAATTCTCAAGGACCATCTGGGCCCATCCCATTGTTTTCCGAACTAAATCCGCTCTGCGATGTTGGCGCCATGAAAAGATGGAAAAGAGGGACGAGGAGGACGAGTCGGAGTCGGAGTCGGAAGCCTGGGCAGCTGGTGATAATCCTACTCTTATTCGGACGGGGATTCAGGCAGAGATTGGTGATGACTCGCGCAGATGTAAACACTCGAGCGAGGATATGATAAGCTCTCGCTGCCGACGACGGGTCTGGCCGACCAGCCGCGCCCGCCCCCCACGTAGAAGAGGCCCGCAAGGCAGCGGCCTCCCTGAACAAGATGTCGCGCGCAGGCATTTCTCTGCCCGCGGATCGTGGCGCACCCGAGCTTCCCTTCGCACTTGTCGGCGCGCACGAGCAGCCAGTGAGGGTGTACCGACGCCGAGTGACTCAGCCTGGCCGCCGTCGCCCCCGCCGCCGACCGGTTGCGCTTCCTCCCGCCGCGCTGGCCGACCTCCGCGGGGGACCACCGCCCCGCTCGCGCGGACGACGGCCGCCCCGCGGGCCGGGATACGAGGCCAGCCCGCACAGCTCGAGGACCGGCGCCGCCGCGCGGGGCCTCGCCGCGCACGGGCCGCAGTGGACGTCCCACACGCTGCCGCCCCACGGGTCTGCTCGCAGCATCCCGAGCGCTGGCCGGCGCCGCCGGAACAGACCGGCTGTCCACCGCCACGGGCACGTCGCCCTCGCCCGTCCGGCTGGGCCGATCCTTCTCCACTGAGTAAAGCAGCGGCGCCCAATAGGAGTTCCCCGACCAGCGGGGCGGCCACGAGAACTCGGGCATCAGGACCAGCAGCTGGCAGAGGCGCAAGTTGACACAGAGGCCGATCATCACGGCGGGCACCATCTGGGCCTGACCCTGCCACGCCAGACAGTTGCACAGCGCGCACTAGCTGCTCGACATCGGGGCGGGCAAAGTCGCCGCCACCCGCGCAGAGTTCGCCAACTTCGCGGCAACCTGCGGTCGCTCAGGCGGCTGCGCGCTGGAACTTGGCGCGCCAGGCACGCGATGATACTGCGCCCCACTGCTGGGATGGGTTGTCTGGGAGCACAGCGGCTCGAAATGCCCGAGAGTACCCCGTCGAGGTCGTCCGCGCCAGGCCCCCCGAGACGTTCCAGAGTCGCCGGGCGAAAGCCGCGACCACCAGCTGGCAGCCCCGCGCGGCCCGAGCGGCCAACACTCGCCCCATCCAGCAGCGCACTGCCACGCTGGCTGGCATCCAGGCTCTCTGCAGAGAAGTGGCACAACGGGTGCTTCTGGAGACGCGCCAGCACTCAGCTCCGACCGGCCTCTCGCTGGCCCTCGCTCTCTGACGCGCCACTCGAGGTCGCGGTGGTCGATTTCTGCCGCCAACGCTCTTCTGGCCTCCTCCAGGGTCGCGGTCCCCCATCTCCACTTAGGGTCCCCGCTGCAGGCGCGAGCGTCTGGGCGCCAGCAGCCGTGCCAGCTCCTCGTCGTCGTCATACTACTGGTTGCCGCAAACCCTACTCCTGTTCATCC